TTGCTAAGCGTCATGGAAGCTATTTCGTTATACGGAGACTCCCTTGGTCGGATCCCCGCTATCTGCGTGACTGAGAGTCGGCTCGTATAGGATTTTCATTCAATCTTCCCTAGATGACCTTTATTGAGGGCCATCTGTTGCCCGTTGTCCGTATATATATCGACTCTTCGGAAAACCGTTAAGTCGAGCCGCGCTCAAGCAGCAACTTAACTTATCTTCATCTGGTCTGCAATGCGAGTAGTAGGCGGAATTTTCAAGCTGCCCAGCGACAGTTTCATGATCATTCAGATATATGGACATCGACAGCTGCTTCGTCCGCTCAGGGTCCGACTCCACTACTACGCGCTTCTCCCAGCCATGAGCTCCCCAGTGTACCGATCCGCTACGAAGCGGCGATAAAATGCTTGGAGGCATCAAGGCACTTTCGCCGTACGAAGGCCATAAGGTTAAATATTTATTCTTGATGATGCGTCGGCCTTCAGTCACCGGGCCTCCTGAATCGCTTCCGACCCATGTCGCAATCCGTCCTCGATCGAGAGCTTCCGCCATCGTTCCCGAGAGCGACAAGCTTTGACGCATTCAACAAGAAACGGGCGAATGGCGAGCGACATATACATTTCTCAATTGCACAATTTTTACCGACCAACGTAGTTCTTGCGGCTTGAGTATCTGTGTTTGTACGGCGGCTCGCTCGCCGCAGAGAGTTCGTTCTGGCAGTATTTGCATCGTAAGACGGTCCGGGAAGTTTCCTCGCTCCGAAAATGAAGGATCGGCTTTTGGGGCTTCTTGCTCGCGAACCCCTTCCTGGAGTTCCCCCTGTCTGCCTGTCTTCACCTGCGGGCAGGGTGAACGGGACGGCAAGGCACGCGCATCCCGCCCCGAAATATAGGCATTCGCGCCTGATTATCACGATGTAAATGCAGATTTGTTCCCCTTCCTGTTATTTCGCTGCACCCGACGTTACTTCCTCGACCGAAGATTGCCTCGGAGTCCTGAACATCGCCAAGGGGTCGTGCCGTGAACTTCAAGCTCGAACATTATTCAAATCCCGGAAGGAGGGAATCGCTGATCCTCGAGCGCTGTGACGCAGCTGCCGTTGTCTGCCGAAGCTCCAGAACCTGGTGTGTCCTGCTATACAATTTCTAAACCGTGAACCAATCGGTGTCTTGCGGAATTGCCACGTAGCATCGGGAGGGAATCGTACCGATGAGGGAATCCTTCACTACCTCATGGCTCATCGGATTCCGCTTCATGGAGGCCTCCACTCCGGGTTCTCCCGGTTACCAGATCCTCTTCTCCATCAGATGCAATCACAACCAAACTCAGCGTTCACTGTCTGCCAGGTCCACTAATAAGCAGTGAATCAATAGCCATCGGATGTCGATCAGACGAGGGTATGCCGCGACCCCGAGTCTCGTTTACGTTCCTGGGAATCTCCCACAATTCCTTAGACCTCCTCTGCGTAGAGCAAGCTCCGCCTCGTCACGGAGCCTTGCTCGACTAGATGCTCGGATCTAACTAATTGTAAGGATCATGATTCCCAACAAGGATCGAATCCTTGAAATTTAAAAGGTGTCTGTTTTCCTCTTCCCTCGAGACGGGATCTCTATAGGGACGTGATCACAACTCCACGCCATGAGATCAGGCTGCGGATCCGATTCTCCTGTTTGCGAATCGAGACCTAAGCGAAAATATAGCGCCGGACAGCTGTGCGCCGAAAGCTGATACAGCTGTTAACGGTGGACCATTCCCGGAGGCTCTGCTGGGAGAGAGATTTTTCTCCGAGAAGGTCAACAGCAGCGATTGGCAAGCTGTGCACAAACGTGAACACGTCAGTCGGTAGGTAGGTTGGTTGGTCCGTCCGTCCGCGGGACGCTTGGCCGCCCGATCTCTTTGGTCGTCTGACGGGCCCGCTTGGGCTCTCGTTGGTTCGGTGGAGTCAGCAGAAGAGCCCGACGAATGATTCGCCCCCGTCGAATGTGACGATGAATCGCCCGGAGCCTTCCCTCGGCGGTTCCCAAGCAGGAGTTAATTTCAATTTGAAAAGGCCTGACTGACTAACTGAGTAGCTGGGCCCCGGCTTGGGCGGTCGGTCGGTGGTTGCTCGTTCGTTCGGACTTGGTTGCTGGCAGGCCGGCTGGCTGTGTGCCAAGAGACTGCGGCGACGACTGCTATAGAATCCCGAAACATTGGCGGAACAGCATTAGTCGCGCGGAATCGCTGTGAACTCCCTTAGGCCGGTGGGTGTTACGACAAGGGCTGATAAAAATCGTTTTTCGATACTAGCTCGCTGAATCGCTTTTGGCTCGTTCGCATTCCTTGCCGGACATAAATACTTTCCGTCGGGCATTCCATGGAGCATAACTGGAAAGTGACCCGAATACGCTCTCATCATCCACGTGTCGGGGGAGGATCTTCTGACCGCAGTGGGCTGCGACATCCCGCCCCGTCACCGAGGTTGTCCGATTCCCCTTTGAAATCAACAAACCGAGACCCTGACCTTCTGCTGCCCTCGCCTGCTACTGCCGAACGGGAATCCCGCGATAGACAGGCTAGATAGGTTCGGACCCGAGGCTCCTCTGTTTCTCGTATGCAATTCTCCAAGGAGCCTCGCTCCGAGTGAATTTTTCGGACAGGGTATGTTCTTCATTGGGAGGGGACATCTAGCGCCCCAGAAGGCCGGAGGAAATCAAATAAACCAATGGCTGCGTGTTTCGCCGGCGCAAAAAATCACCTCTGATCAAATATGAGCTGGGGAACTCGGAGCGAATGAAAGTGCGTCGAGGCACGCGGAGTGACAGGTTTGGATCCAGAGAATCTGCTCCGTTTTCAGAGAGAAGACAAATGAGGATAGTCTCCAAGGGATTGCCCCGTCTCCGCTCCTTCCGCCTCCTGTCATGGTGAATGGAGTCTTGTTGTGAGTGGATTCGCCATTTCTCGATCCCAATTTGCTTGATCTGCCACACTCTCATCAGCGTCGACTCTCCTGGCTCGTCTCTTTCTCCGCGGACCATTATGACCCAGATTCCATCTGCCCAACCGATTTCTCCGACCCGTCTTCCTCCTTTCCCGTTCCTGAGCCCGTTCCCCTATCAGCTCCGTGGTACCTGCATCTTCTCATGCGAGCATCCGAAGAGAAATCTCATCTCCCGAATCGACCCGATCGATGAGAAACTTGCCCACACGATCGTGGAGCTTCCCCTCAACGAGCCCCCCGTCCTAACAGGATACAGACGCGGGGTGTAGGTAGGAGTGAGGGGAAAGGGTAAAAAACTTGAAAACGGAATCCTCGACTACCGCCGTCCCTCAGATTCGACTCTTCTGTGGTGAATTATTCATAATTACCTTCCCTTCTTGCGGAGAATAGGACTCTGCATGGGGAACGAGCGACCCGGGAGCGGTCTTGCGGGGAAATCAGGGCGCCGTTTTGTCGTTCATGGATCCGCTTGTCCCTTCGGCTCGGTCCTCTTCGTGTGTAGTATTTCGCTGCTCACGTCTGAGAACGAAAGACTATTTCATTTGCGAGACTGTCTGTTCCAAGTTGGATGGGACTGGGGAGCAAATTGATATAAATTGCGTCTCCGTCGGGAGGAGGTAGAACCTACCAGAGTGAAGAACGCCCGCTCGCTCTCCCGACCGACCAGCGCATGAGCGCGCACGAGGTAATCGTTGACGATTTCAACTGACGAACTCACTCATTCACCGACTTCGCAGTTTCTTCGTCGTCGTCGACGTTATCCCATCTCTTGTTTCGTTGCCTCGCGGCGACGCTCCCTCGCTCGTTTGTGAGCGTCGACGGACTCGGGAACAAGCCAACCAACGAAGCAAGCGAGCAAGCAAACGAAGAACGAATGAACGAGCGAGCTAGCGAGCGAATGAATAGCCTAAGGTCTATTCTCTGAGGATTCTTCACAAAAAAGCCCTGCCGGCTCATTTCGGAACTCGCATTAAAATCTCTCGTCGGAAAGTCGTTTCTCCCGCCCCTCGTCCACCCGTCCGCGCTGCTCGTTCGCTTCTCCCGCGCTCCCTCGCCACGAACAGCTCATTTTCCAACTTTGTTTCCTAAAAAAATCTATTCCTCCTCCAAATGCCGCGAGCCATCCGACCGAGTTTGTCTGGAGTCGATTCCGACTCTTTCAAAGTGTTCTGCAAATTTTTTTTCTGCATGAATTTCGCAACCAATCGGTTTCGAACACACGGAAACGTATTTATCGAAGTCTGCCCCAAGGCCTTCGAGGTTCTCTGCTCTGCAGGACTGCCACGGTCCTTCGAATACTTTTCAGATCACGTGGAAATATCGCTGAGCAGCGAAAGAAGATCAGCAGAGGGGATACCTCACAATTGCAAGGTCGATTGATTGATGCCGTAGGACTTGGAAGGAAGGCAACTCGACGCCAGATGAATTATTCACGATGACTCTATGCCGAGAATAGATGATTCCGAGAGAATCAAATGACTCCGGAATAAATATATAGGTGTACATTCGAGGGGCTCGATATGATCCAGGTTCAATGAAATCATTATCGTCCTGGTCGAGATTTTTCGTGCTATCGATATCGAATGAGTGATTCCCGGTGGTTCCGGATTCCCGGATCGTCTGAGGCTCATAGGCTTTTACGTTCCAAAATCCTAGCGCTGGATTTCGCTTCTCGAGGAATTCGTCTTTTTTTCTGATCGCTTATATTGACGTGTTCCACGACGATCCTTATTGCGAATAGGCGCGTGCCGTGGAGCCCCCCCTAACCCCCAGACACGGTCCGCCGGATAGCACAGTTTATGCAAGCTCTCGGTCTGAACAACTCTAAGTTGTATGCATACTTCCTGTCTCCATTCGACGAAACCTTTCAAAACCTTCCCTCATCCGTCATCTGAAGAATTCGATGTCGTATCTACGCATACCCTCCCGCTCGACTCTTCCTCCTGGCTACTACGGCCCTCTCCCATGTGGGGAGAACCGAGCCGCATCTTCGGAAAAGATTCGGGCCCTATCGCTCAGACTCCTAAAAGTTTCACGAACCGAAGTCCCTGAGAGAACTTCGCTGGATAGAAGTATCAACATGTGCGTGGCACTCGTAGTTTCCAATCCGTCGAATAGAGTGTAGAATATGCCCAATGTAGACACCGTGCGTTCTAATATGCTGAGAGACTGATGTGTTGTCTCGAGAAACTGTGCCATTCAAATCAAGTTGAGCAGTTGTGTGAGTTCCCGGGCGCCGAAATAGCTATGTAACATTATGAGACTATCGCCTGTCATCTGCTCGTTGATCCTTGCAGCGGGACAGTTTCAAGGTAAGAATTTCACGGTGATTTCGTGTGAGTCCTCCGATATTCTCAAAGTCCTGTCGGGAAACAGGCTCCTGTAGGCTGCTCGAATCTTCGCTGGCTAAGAGGTGGTGAATTTCTACGGATTTGACTCCTCTCTCATGGAAATGCACTTTTTGAACAAGTGTACAGGGATGATCCCCGGATCGATGAACTCGTGTTGGGAATCAACGCCAAGAGGATAATTTCCGTAGCTGATCATCGTCGGATGTGCATCTATACTGATCATGACACTACTTTCTCTGCCCCTTCGTCCCATCGACCCGGTGGAGTTTCCGTGGCTTCTGAGGAATTCTACGAGTAACCAATCGGGGAACGATATCGGATGGTGACGTACGGGGACGCAACTTTCCGCTCCTAGGACACCTTCTTATTCGCTGGGAGCGGAACGCTAGAGTGTGGCTAGAGCTCGGACTCACCTCATACATCGTATGGAAGTCACAACTTAAAATTTTATATGAAGTCACAAGCTTGATCGAGGGAATGAGGGAAGACGAGTTTGTCCGACGCATGTTAATCGAGTCGAAAGCTCATCCAGATGGCGAAACTTGAAGGAACATGAGCGAATTGCTCGTTTGCTCGGAAGCCTCCCTCTCGGGGAAATCGTCCGAAATGAGCGAACGAGAGCCGAAGTGAATACGTGGGGGACAAAGTTTAGAACATCTCGCATGCCCTTCGGCTAGGTGCACCGCGCTCGTCGTCGCCAGAACATCGTGATTGAATTAAATCATTAAAAACTTCGAATTCCGTCTCTCGCTCCTCACTGCGAAAGTGGCTTACCTCGCTTAACTTTGACATTCAACTCGATACGAGCGCCGCGGCGTAAACGCCGAGTGTCCTGGCTCCCTTCAAGAAAGTTCTCGTCGAGGGGGAAATCGCTGAATCTCGAAGGAGCGTTCCTGAAGATCCCTTCTGAGCGACCTGAGGTTGAAGGACCGATAAGCGCGACGGTTGAGTGCACTGACTATCTAAGAACGCGAGAGGCATGGCGCCGACTTCCCCCTTCCTCGGCCGCATATTTAGAGTTTCTGATTCAAGTTTACCCCTCTTACCCCTTCCCTAGATTCCGTTTTTGTCGTTTTGATGCGTGAGGGGAGAACATCATCAATGCCGACAAAAAAACAACCGCCCTTCCCCCCCCTCCCCACACGAGAGAGTGAAGTCCGTAGACTGACTGACTGACGGGCGGGCGGGCGGACGGACAGGGGAGCAACCCGGGCGAACGAATGGGCATACAGCCGGCGGGACAGCAGCAGGAGTGCGCGCGCGCGACGCCCTGTCGCCACTTCGCTGTGTCCTTATCTGTGGAAGGAGAACAATTTTTCATCGTTGCTAGATGGCTGAAGGCGGACGAGTTGTGTTCGCTGGGGTAGAATAGATGAACACTTCGCGCCAAAACTACAACCTCCGCCAGTGTGTGCGGCAGCGGCGGGAGCGTCTCGACGCCACTTCGCAGAAAGGGACAACGAAAGCGAAAAGAAGAAAAGGGGCGGAGTGGAGTGCTTCCCGTACCGAGAACAATTTTTCATGTGGCAACGCTGTGGCGGTGCCTGCGCCACAGAAGGTCACATACATAGAGGAAAATTTGCCTATTTTTTTTATGAAAATGTTGCCCGTTCCGTCTGTTTTCCTCGAGCGTTTCGAAGTGCTGCCTCATCCTTCAAGCTCGCACTTCGCTCACGGGAACGCGGAAGAGCATACACGGAGGATTCACTTGAGGAATCACCGCGGCAATATCTCGCTGACGTGAGACGGCGCTCGGCGGAGTTGCGGTGCTCCTTTTTCCATCCGCAGTTGTATCCGACACTTCAACAATTATTCAAAGCGAATCGCAAACAGCGGACTCGCTCGCGTGCACACTCGAGAGAAAGAACAAACAGCGGCTTTTCGATGCCGTGACAGATAAATACGAATCAGTATCTTGCGGGACCACATAAGAATTATCCCACCTTGTCATTCCAACATCGTGCGCGTCAGTGAACAAAAATCATTCGAAACTCTGGCACACTCTACGGGCTCGAGTCAATGATGACTTTCGGAAGATACTGCCGGTCGCTGGGAAACTGATTTCATTCGACCCCCGGACAGAGGGGAAGCGCGCGTTGGGACGTCCCAAAGCGTCGGGAATGTGATCCCCGAGCAGAGACCGTCTTCGGTGGAAAAAGTCGATGAAAATGAAATTCGAGCTTTGACAGGTCTGGGGCCGAATTCAAATTCCACTCCTCGGGTTTCGAGGACATTCTTACCGAGAGTGAGGTCGGTCGCAGAAAATCTCTGAAAGGAATAAGCACTGACGGGAGGCCACAGGAAGCGTCGCGTTCTGTGAGGTGATTTTTTTGCGACAGGAAAGTAGAACCCAGAATTGATAAAAAGGAGAGCCTCCGGATGTCAGATGTTGGAAACTTCAAAGAACTTGACTCGAAAAGCGAACTCCCGGGCACGCAACGAACACGCGCTGATAAGGGATTTGACGGAGTTCTTTTGTTGATCAAATTAAATTGAGTCGGATACGCTAACAAGGACGTCCGCTGTGACAAAGTTTGCATGAATCCCTGGCTGACTCGTTCGACGAATTCCCCAGCTGGATCGAGATCGTGTCAGAGGACGCCATTTGTTCTGAAAAAGGCAGTTAGTTTGAATATGTTGCTGCCGGATGTTCCCGTCGGCGTTCGTTAAGGAAGAATTCCGAGGGAGTAAACACAGAGAGATGCTCGAGCCGGCAGAAAACAAAGTTATTTTCGTTTCTTTTGTTTTCCTTTCAGATGTGGCAAGCGCCCGGAGGCTTCATCTGCGCGGAGTCCAAGTCTTTGGAGAGGTTTCAGAGCCGACCATGTCCAGCGAGAGTTTGTCAGCTGTCCCCTCAAGCCACGGCTTTCGTCAGCCGGTCGTGTTGGACTGCGCCTACGATTTGATCGACGATGGCGGCAACTCATCCATACGGGACATCTACCCTATAGTGAAATGGTTTCGGAACGACGAACCAACGCCATTCTATCAGTGGTTAGCTCACACTAACTCACGGACCTTCCACCATTCCTACATCGGTACGTGAACTTTCGTTGCGAGGGAGCCAATGTCGCCGGCTTCCAGTTCGGATGCTCGGCGGGAGACCTGTTGAGAAGGAAAAAAAGACCAGATTGACGTCGATAATCGATATCACATGGCTCTGCTGTTCCTATCCGCAGACTTCGTGGACACCATCTACAAACTCAATGATGTTCCGCATGAGATGTTCAGGGCGATTAGGATCACCCATCCCGTCAAAGAGCTTTCAGGGAATTTCAGCTGCGAAGTAATTGACGAGGACGAGAAGGGTGAGGAGCAGTTCCAGGAGCTCGCATCACACGCCTTGTACATTTACGGTGAGTGGCTTCTTAGTGGTTATGGACACGCGCGGAATGTGTGACTGGGGCCAGCTGAGAGATCGACTCTGAAGGCGGCTGCAAACGAGGGACCTGGGACTCGGGGAGACGAGGGCGGGGAGACCATCGGCACCACAATTGATTCGGGCGCCTTACGAGTCGTTTTCTCCGCGCACGAAGCGTCCTTTGAATTCTCTGACTCCGGTGCTTTTGTTCCGCAGATACTCCGTCCCCCTTCGAGCTCCGGCTAAATTTCAGTGAACGTCAGTTGAGTTGTAATATTTCAACAAGTGAGAAGGTGGATTCAGTCAGAGTAGATCTTTATCGAGTGGACTATGATGCTCTCGACGTCGAGGTCGCACGCATCCACTTCAACGCGACGAGCTTGGCAGTTCGAGCCGGGAGCACGACCGAATGGCATTCGATACAGGCTTCGGTCATCCTGCAGCCAGAAGATACTAAAGTTGCTGAAATCGGGGCCAGTAGAACATTCTTCTGCGACGTTGTCTTCACGAGAGTTGGCGACCCTCACAAGAACGAGAGCTTGGTCTTCCAGCGGAGCGTCCGGGTCGTTCACGGTGAGCGAGAGTCTTTTGCTCGTGCTTGAATGATCATCTCGATTTTCACGGCGGAGGATTAGAGTGCTGAGAGAAAAGAAAATCACCAAGCAAGACAATGATACGGTTGGAGATACTCGCGAACTGAGCCGAGCGCGTTCCAGTGCGGCGTCGCGGTCTGCTCGGTGGAGCTAAGCAGGATTTATCTCAGTGAAGTTTAATGGTGATTAACGTCATCCATTTCAGAAGCTCCGTTTTCTGCTGATTATGAAGACCCTGAGTTTCTGCCTAAGCCCGAGGCCTGGTCTTTGTCTTCAGCGAGCAGCACTGGCACGAAGTCTGAAAAGCTTTTTATAGGCATTTTACTCTTCTTGTATATAATTGTATCATTGTAAACATTATGAGATGTGTATCATCATTGCGATATAAACATGACAATATATGATCGAGTATATGAATCGTTTGGAAACAGACCGAGCTCTTCTCTCATTCCTCCCACATGTCCGTATTGAAAACAGATCGGCCGGCGGAGCTGTGAACTTTTTCCGTCAACTGATCCTTCTTCGAATTGACCGAATTCGACGGTCCGCCATCACTTCTGATCGATACCCAGTCCCTCGTTGGGGATACATCCCCGTGTTGTCGTGGGTGCTGTGCCCCCCGAACATATTCCTCGAGGGTGATAATGCGATCCGGTGTTTCGTCGCTTATACTCACAAGAGCCATAATAGGACAACAGGGTTAATGAGCCATGTGATCGCTAGAATCACTAGACAGAGGCACTCTCTCTGTGGAGCATTTCCTTAGGTGAGTCCTTCCTATGGTGGCGGGGAAGTTGAGCAAAAAGGAGTGAAGGTCTCGCTGGCTGACTGTCTGCCTGTCTGTCTATGCGCTTGCATTCACCATGGTAGTTGGGCAGTGAAGATGAGACAAGTGAGTGAACTCGAAGGGAACAATAGCCCTCGCGGTGGGAGGTTACGGGAAGAGGAGCTGAGGCGACAGGCTGAAAGCAATTTTCACTCTTATCCAAACACGCAGCGGTAGCTCATACACCCCACCAGCAGCGGCGAAGGCGCTTTCAACCCTTGACAGAACCGATTCCGCCCGCACGCTCGCCATCTAGTCAAGCGGGGTGAGCTTTCCAACTGAGCAGACAAGGTAAGCGAGGCAGGGAGCAAACTCGACTACCGACCCTCAACTCACCGAGCATATCCCGTGGCTCCCCGGGGGCCTAATGTAGCCGGAGCCATCCTTAATGATCACGACAGTCAGTCACGGGTCACAATGTGATGAACGAAGTCTACCGAAAATATCATGTCGATACGACCCACTTTCTGGGTTTCGAGGGATTCGACGGAATTCTGCTTATTCCGGCTTCCGTGGGCCCGATTAATTTTCCGTAAATCGTTCGGTCGGCTTTTTCGAAAACGAGCGGATGGAGACAGTTTCATCAAGGACCTCTATAATGGATCAACAAACCATCGCTGGCGCTGGTAGGACCTCTCGCTGAAGATCTGCCCGAAAGACTCAATGAAGTGAAACGGAGAACGGCGGTCACGCAGACCGTGAAACCTGTGTCGAACGGGAATCATCGTACGGACGCCGACAAGTCGCTCCGAATGCCCTGATGATCGGATCGGAACGATTCGTGATCGGTGGAAAGAGATCGAAACCGCTCATTTCGACAACTACTGCCGTAGGTGTAGCGGGACGCTCCAAAGTCGGGCATTCCTGACCGTTGGCGAGGGATCCATGAATAAAGAACGATTCGAAGCTACCATTTTCTTTGATTTGTTCGCCCTTGGGATCATACTGTGTTCCTCTCGCTTCTAGTTCGTTAGTCAGCGGGGCATCCGATCGTTCGGTCCGGCCTACGACTGACTTACGACGTGAACACATGGGAGCGCCGAACCCATATCCTTCCATTAGTTACCAAACGTTAATTCAGCGTTTCTACTCGGAACGTCGGTCGCGAATACCGGGTCTCTTGTTCTTGTCGTCCCATTCACTCGGGAGATGAGAAGCGCGGTAGTGAAAAGATTGTTCAAGCTTGACTTCAGTCTCAGGGGTTAGCTCTGCTCTCTTTTTTTAATTTTGGCTCGCAACGGAATTCCCGGGGCTTTTTGGAGCAGAAAAACCATGACTCTCGCTTTTGTGCTTCTTCCGACGCGGGTCACAAGAGTTTCTTCAGTCGGGACGCACAGCCCATACTCATGAAGTCTCATCGAAATCTCCGCGGTACGGATTCTCCGCACGTTCCCTGAACGATGCGTCAAATCAAGAGCTCCAGCGGAACGAGAAGAGGCGACGTAAGACCACGTGAAGAGAAATTATAAATGAAACCAAATAAACGCAAACGGTGTCAGCTGGATGGAAGTCGGAAGCAGCGCTGGAAGCGAGCCCAGGAGCTCAACGCCGAGCTAAGTTTAGCAAACCTCCTGGGTGTCATAGGGTAGGCGCGGCAGGCTTTTTGGTACGGACCTCTTTATCCGAGGCCCATGAGGGGCCGATAATCGAGCAGCCAGGCCGACCGTTTGCCTGCTCCCGAGTAGCGGTGCGGCACGTCAACAGTGTAGCTTATTCCGGTTCGTCCCTTCTTTTCGGTGTCGATGCGGCCATTATCTTACTTCAAACGACTTTTCCGTATAGTTCTCGCGCAAGTAGAAGAGGTCTGTTCGGGGATTCCGATTCCAAACCATCGGTTTCTGTTTCGAGCGTCTGTCCAGGATTCCTCCTGCGATCAACACGCCCGGAGTGGAGTCTCGTTCGGTCGCCCGCGGCCCGACGCATGCTCCGTTTCCAGAACGCATGCTCTCGGAGCCATTACGGGTCCCTCGCTCCCGTCCAAGACTCGGGTCTGTTGAACTCCGGAAAACAGGAAAAAGAGCGATTCCGCCGTCTGATACCCACCCGAAGGAAAATTCCTATCTCGGAAAGCATCGAGCGAGTTGGGATGTGTCGATTATTATTAGCCGCGGAATACCTTCCTACAATTGAATCAGAGGCCGACATATGTACATTCCTCGGGCGGAGCGCTCTTTGTCTTTGAGACCTGTACGAAGAGCTCCTCGAGCACTCGTCTCCGAGCAGTCGACGGGACATATCGCGGAATATTCTGCTTCGGAGTCCCATCGAAAATTGGAAGCTCTCCGGACGGGTTTCGGGTAGAATCTTGCCCGTCAGGTCTTAGGGTTATATCTTGCGAAGGTGCGGCTGAGGAAGTACGGATTGGAAACTCGGGGCTCTCGGCTCAGAATCGAATTACGGAATGATCGAGCACGTGCGGCGGGAGCGGCGATTGTTGCAGGATAAAAGAGGTCGTATGAATGGCGGGAATTTCCGATTGAGCTCGGAGTGGATGCAATCTCAACTCCGCGTCCGGATCGCCATTCAGCCCCGACGAATTGTTTAATCCGTTATCAGCTCCTATGGAGCGCGAATCCTAAAGTGGAACCGGCCGCGCCGCGGGAGCCGCAGCGAAGCGACAGCTTGGGGCACTCCGATACGAATGCCCCGGTCAAGATACGCCAATCTTGAAATACGCAACCGTGCGCTCTACGTCGATGCGCTTTCGAACATCGTCGAGCGAGACGTTCCCCAATCGATTGAGAGGAAAAGGTGAAGATCATCGTGTGAGAGGTGAAACAGTCTTCCAATCGCGGAGTTTCGGCAGTTGAAAGTCTCGTGCGATGCGGGAGACTTGCCGCCGAAGTCCGACCTGGTTCTCGATGTGATACGGCGATCGCCGCCGTCATCTTCCTCACTTCCGTACATCACTGACAGGGCGACGAGATGGCCGGTACGCTGGAGGTGACCTAATACGTTGCATGCACATTCCCATACCCACGGAACTCGGCTCGGGCGAGAGGACTGCGAACACCGGAGGAAATCGCCATGACGAGTCATGGTTTTGAGGAGATCAGATTCGATTTACGGAGATCGACCGAAGTCCGGGATCTGAGTCACTCGACGCCGCTAGGACGAGCCTCTCGATGTGCCGACGGAACCAATTATCAGATCTATAATCTACAGCATCTCCGTACTTTGAAATAGAAATGCGAACATCGCCCGACCAGGCGGGTCGACAATCGTGGCCTGGCATTGGAAAGTTTCTAAGCCGGTGAGTTTTTCTCTCGCAAGGTTATGGGTATTCCTCGAGTGTAGCTCCCGGTAGGTTTTGGAAGCGGGTGAGGGGTAGAGGGAACTCCATACGGATGAGAACGGCAGGCCAGGTGACGCGCTGAAAGTTTTACTTGTCTCGCCGACAATCTTCGGATCGGGGTGTTCTGTAACTTTATACGGCTCTCGTATCTCGCAGCTACACCGGAACGTGACCAGCGTAGAAAGGCTCCTGGGCGCCGTCTGTCAGCGCTCGAGATGACTCCCCATTAACTCCGACGGCAGCTAGGACTTCTCAGTCCAACAAGTTCCCACACAGAGCCGTGTGAATAGAAAGGAACACCGCCTAGCAATAACTGAAATAATGTCGCTCCTTTGGAACCATCAATTACACGAATGGACGCGATGTTATCGGATCGAGCAAGCCCTGCTCTGCATACGGGTCAGGCCTTCCAGCGCTCTGTGACATAGTTTACCTTGGGAAGTCAACGGCTCTCTGCCCCTCGCTTCGCACTCTCCGAGGAATCTACCGACAAGAATTCGAATTCGGAACGGTATCCGAATTCTCTCGATGGACGCGGCGAATTCTTTCGAGTGCGGATATCGTATCCGGAGTTTCAGGAGGCGAACGAGAAGGAACCGACTGGTGGCTTGGAATGCGCTATTGGACTCTATCAGATGCTAGTTTCGGAACTTGCAGAGGAACGCGAGTGGAGAGAACTTTACAGAATGTAAAAAGCCTCCTCTCGCACTCGACGATGAGATCCTTCCAAGCCGCTTCAGCTGCTCCGAACAAGAATGGTATGTGTCGGCAATAGCAAAGTTTTTAGAGGAACGGAAGGCTGGAATGGGCTTTTGTTGGGTCATTTTTTTCCAGAGGATCGTCGAGGATTTTGTCTGTCGACTTCTAAAGAGAAATAGTGGAACCACCAATCTTAATCCCGATGTTGAAACAACAAAAAAAGTTATAAATGTTTTCCCGCTCCAAAGAAATGCTCTCTCTGTCGCAGAAATCGAGAAGGCGATGGCGACGCTTTTGTTCCAGCTTTCCCTCTCTTATCGGAGCCCGTTTTTCAGCCTGATCTCCAGGGGCTCGAGACTTTCGCGATGAGACTGCGAAATGCGCAGATGACTCTCCTCTTCGGAGGAGCCGCAGGTACACCGAGGAGTTCAGTACTAGATCGTCAGCGTGGCTCTCCGGTCCAAGAACAGCACAAACAAACGAGATCGCTGTGTGTCAAGCGAAACGCCTAATGAACGATCCGCATACGCGGAAGATTGGACCATGAGTGAAGCGGTGGACAAGTGAATGAATGACTAGGCTGTGGTACTTATTCGATCGACT